GTTCAGTATTAATTGTAAGTAAGCAATTGGTCGTTACCTATCTTGTCAACCTTGTCAAGTGCACATCACAGCTGTAACGTTAACATTGTAAGTATGCTTCAATTTTTAATTCGAGTTCACGAAGTCATCCGGATGACAAATCCGGATACGAACGGCACATCACTCCCACCAACGATCCAAACGCAACAGAATGCCAAGCAATGTCGTGCCCCATAGGGAGCAACGTCAAAAGACCCGCGCTCAGTAGTCGTGGGCCCGCTTCGGCCTGCCGATTGATTTGCTGAGCCGGATACCGGCGTCCGTCTCTGTCTATGGGAGTGCCAGGCATTGTAAGGTATTATGTTGTCGTGATATTGCGCAAGCAAACCACCGGTCAAAAATGCTTATACATTCAAAATGAACCTGCCTAACTGACGATTCTGTAGATTGGTTTGAGCCATCAAGGTCAACTGACTCGTCAAGAATGTCGGAGGTATCGTCCAATTCTTGAATGAAATCATCACCATTTGGCATTTGACGTAGCTTCGACATCAAGATTGCCGCCGACTCCTCTTCCGCGGCTGACGTTGGACTTGCAGTTCCTTCGTGAACAGGTACTTCCGCACCATTGATGAGATTGCACTTGACAAAACCACGTACAATCGTAGACTTGGGCATTGCTTCCCACGCTTCGTTGACCCATTCAACGAGATTGTCGCGAGACGGTGGTCGCAACTTGAATGAAGGTTGCACTTGATCTGTCTTGGTTTTGTATTTCATGGCGCAGATATGTGACCCAACGAAGGCGCATGGACGCTTTCAACGGCTTCATCCAAGCAACGTCGGCCGGTTGGCAAACCCGCTTGAAGGTAGGTGGATTCTTCTCGAGCAATACGTCCAAGGATTCGGCGCAGGCGACCACGTCGTCACTGAAGTGGGTGCTGAAGTCGTCCCACAATAGTAGGATTTTCTTCATGTTTTTGTCCTTGCGGTATCCAAAGTAGTACTGAGAAATTCCTAGGAAATGTGACCATTCCACGATGCCGTACGGTTGCCGTACAAGCGCGATGCGTGGCGTTCATGGAGTTCTTCAACCTCGGGGCACACCACAGGGCCAAATCCGTTCCGCTTGGTGAGGTTCTCGACGACTGTTGCCTTCACCTTTGGTGCTCTTGACTTTAGGACCAAGAACATGGGGTACTTCGTTCCCTTGTTGTCGGCGAGCAGCATGGCCGTCATCCTGTCCTTTTCGTGGCCGGAGCAGCGAATCCACCCGGTATTGGCCCCGCAGCGATCAATGGCGTGTTTGGGGATGTACTCAAAGTTGATTCCGGTTTGATCGGCATTGTAGATGTCGTCGATGGCTTCCGTTTGCACCAACTGGCGGATTCGGTTGCTGAACGCTGCTAGAGCCGCCTCCCCTCGTTCTAGATTAGACTGCCTGGACCTTGAGACTTGGCCCGCATAGCTAGTTTCCAACGCTTGATAAAGCCCGAAATCCACGATGGGCTTTCCTTGAACCGATTGTCGGTCAAGCCGAGGTCTTTAGCCACCTCCAGTGCCTTGCATTGCAAGAGGAACTTGCTTACTGGGATACCCTCAGATCGCATATCGCACACCCATTGCGGAATTTGTTCCTCATATTCACTTGATAAGGTGGTTGCACATCCAGCGGGGCGACAGATGTTCTGGGTTGTAGTCGCTGGGATGTTTGCCATCTTGGTGATGTGGGGGCGGTTGTGTTCCCATCGCAGCACACGTTTGAAGGCTGACGACCGAGCAATCCCTTCGGCGCCCCAGAAAAAAGTGTCCAAAGCCGAGTCCATGGAATGCTGCTTCCGCCAATTGATGATGTGGAGCTGCTTGGCGTAACTAAAGTAGTGCCGTCGGTGCTGTGGAGGTCCATTCCGTCGGCAGTTCTTTACTACTGGTCGTCCTATTGCCTTCCTGTGGGGAGCTTTGGTACTCGGTGGTGCCATCCAAGTTTTGAATGTGACCGTAGTCATGTGAATGACACGCAAATTTCCCGCTCAGTAAATACTCTTAAATAGGATATGTAATAAGATTCTAAAGGTCACCAATATCGAGGGGTCACCTTGGTAATTTAAGTTTTCAAGTACTATATTTGGTTTTACCATTCACACATGACAACGGATCAGTATGTTATTAACAGTAAACATTCAATGCAATAAAATCCAAGGAAAACGAATCTGTATTTAAAAAGTTTACACTACAGTATTAATACCATGACCTGCATACACTGCTCATGCGTTCCTCTTGTTCCAGACGCGTATCCATTAATTCCACTGTAATCGCGTCATCCTCAACCACATTGCTCCGAGGGATCTTGTAGTTCCCGCCATTGACCCCAACAATCGCATGCATTACCCGTCGCCAGGTTCGAAACGTCTCCTCCAAAGTCAATGATGGCAGACTTGAACGATTCCTTGACAGGTCCTTCATGGACCGACATTCCATTTTCTGCTGCAGTGACTGAATAGAGTTGAAGAAGCCCAGGTCTAGAACTTTCAGGTCCTCAGTCGCCGGACCTGAACGTTCTAGACATGGGCTTCTTCAATTCTATTGTGCCAATTACGCTCAGTTGCCGCTTGAACAAACAAGGCATCGTCGACAGCAATGTGCCTCATTTGTGCTTACTTGCTGAAGCTCTTGTACAGCGCCATGCGCTTGTCGTTTGTCAAATTTGATTTGGAATTTATATTGCGAGCAGACATGGAGGCGTAGCAAGTGCGAATATGGTCATATAATTCAACAAAAAATATGATCAGAATCGCCTCAATAAGAAGATTTCGCAAGCGTCGGTTATTTGTTCGCGTTCAGCTCACGCAACGACAACGGCAGCGGCAACGACAGATATTTTATGATTTCGCAACAGCAAATTTCCATCAAAATATACGAATAAATTATCCGGATAAAGGATCAGCTTGGGCACACGCAGCCATTTTGCGGAAATATGCATTAATTGTAGACAGGTTTTCTCGTTCCGGAATTTGATCATAGAGGTTTTTTCGCCTGAGCGGACAGAGAACGATATCGTTCATTGCGAAATCTCCTTAATGAAATGAACACGCCCCACTAAGTTTTATTCCAATCCGATAACTCGAACACTATTTTTTGTCACCGCCTCCACTTATTACAGTTAATACCTAGTAGATTACTAGTACTCTGTCCCAAATTACCTCCACGTTTCACCTCATGTTTTGCCGCAAAATCATTTTTATTTCGAAGATTTATTTAAATTTCTCCTAAATCAGACTGGTTATCTTTGTATAGCGTGAACTGCCTCTTGTTAACAAGCAAGTGGTCGAGCCAATTTTCCCAACCTTCTTACATGAGCATTGTCGATATAGAGGATTAGGACAGTCATCATGGTTATGGCAGGGATGTCAGCCTGACTCGAGCAGAACCCAAGCGACGAGTACTAATATAAGATAATTAGATTATAGAGTTTATATTACCTCTGTATATGCATATTGTTACCTACCCATTTGACCATACATTAATCAAGTCCGGTGAGTGATTTTAATTCTGCCCTGAGGAGCAATATTATTTTGATGATAGTGTGCACGTTATCCAACAAATCTGTAATATAAATATGAGCAAGCAAAACACCAAATTCCCAGCATCTCATTGTAGAGTGATTTTGCACCAAGAATCCACACGAATTTTCCATTACAACTTCCCTGAAAATCCTTCGGGGAATATCATGTTGGGAAGGTGCTTTTGCTATAGGTAAAATTCAAATTTAAGCAGAACTGCCGCTGTGTGCGTTGTTGCGGCTCTTCTGGAGCACCTACCGGTAGGGCACGTCTCCCAATCTTTAGGCATAACGTTATCAACAACCCAGTGCATTAGGTGCAATGTGTACAGTTTGTGACCTTGCACTATCCCTATATGCTGTAGTGTGCATCGCGCCGACGTTCAAACATGACCGCTTTGAGGTGGTCGATGAACACTGGGGGATAGGATGTATCTGTTGGCTGGTTTACGTTCGGCACTATACCACTGCTCGCCTACGATATCCTCGCTCATCTACTAGCGCGTCCTACCTACCGCTCATCTACGTTTGGTGCCGACCATACCATTCACCCATGAAGTGAAATTGGTATTTAGCATGTTCAAGTGTTTTGATTGGCTACTGTGTGTGAAAAGGTATTCCCAGTCAGAAATTCTGACAGAATATATTCATCACGAAATTCCCAATATAATCAGATCAAAAGGCTTCATCGTGAAACATTTCAGGAAATATCACGTAGCAACATGATACAAATTTTGTAGAAATCGGGTAAATGAGTCAAATTTTGAAGTTGAAACGTGGAGGTAATTTGGGACAGAGTAGTACATACTACGTAGTAATTGGTTTAGAGAACCCCTGGCCTTATTAGTGTGGTGTCCTGCTACTGTTACGACGACACCTGCATCAAGGCCGCGAATCGTCGTCGCCAAAGCAAGAATTGCGCATTCTCCTGTCGGATCAGTTCGCGCCACATGAACGCTTCCTTCTGGTCGTTGTCTTCGATGCCCGTCACATCGATGTCCCTCAACACTGCGAGCTCGTCAGAGCTGACAAACCCGTCGTAGGCTCGAAACGGGCGTGTCAATTGGCTGACTGTCCGCATTACGATATGCGTGGGCGAAACCTGTCGCACCTCCGTCCTAGATACGTCCACGGCGCATTACAAACCCACAACATCTCCTGAAGTGCTAGAGTATTTCATTCACTCACCACGACCTGTAGTGCCGCTGCCTCAGCATGGGGTAACATGAATGGGCTTCGTCGTCGTCGACATGTCGCAAGACTATGATGATCCGGTCGGCTTCCACAAAGTTTCCTTCGAGAGTATTTCTGAACGCGCCATCGACCGTCGTGGTGCATAACAGTCGCGTGTTGGCCACCACCTCGTCCGCCACCTAACAAACACTGAAAGTCAGATGAAATGTTGATGGCTGCCTGTTGGTGTGTTGCCTCGTGGAGGTCGTCCAAAAGCACGTCGCGCATACGATTGGACTCGACGAATCGTCGAAACGACGCTAACGTTCCTGGCCACGTGCACTGAATCTGCTCCACGAACGTAAACGAATCGTCGTGTTTATCCGACGCTTCAACGTCAAATACGTAATACTCCTCGTCCGACCGCAAGGCCGGAAGCAACGCGAATGCCTCATGCATGGTGTGGTACATTTGCTGCGTGAGCCACTCCTTGCCCAGGTTTCGAGCCCTCGGGTCGGCCACCAACGTCGCATTGTGCCACGTATTGCTACGGGACATGGGCAGCTACATGCAGACGCACAATCATACGACGACGGAAGGAGAACACGTACTGGAATGTTCATCATGACAAAGCGCTGCATAGACGCAATGAGGGTTCGGTACTCTTGCGCTTGAGTGCCCAGTGACTCGCGGTCTGTCAAGACCCGATGGGCTTCACTTTTGAACACCATGGCAATAGAATGCCACGACAATATACTATCTCTAGCTTCACGCACGGATGGCAGACTCTTGGCTTGAAGACCATCAAGGATCGACTGAAGGTGGATGACCTCCGCTTCCATTGCTGCCCCTTCAGCATTCAACTTGCGGCGATACTCGCGCTGTTTCTCTCGAAAGTATCGACGCCGAGCGAGTGTTTTGTCCGAAAGCGTCTGCGTGGTTGGGCCAGCATCCGAAGACATCTTGATGTGAATTCTCCAGTGTGAATCCACAACCTGTCTGACCTAGACGTGGAGCAAACATTGTATTAGCACTATTAATTGTACGCTACAGTATTTATCGTAGAGCTGCTGCTATACCGAAGTAACGAAGCTGATGCACTTTGCTCGAATTCGGTGACCAGTACTCTGTTTCGACCAACCCGCCCTTTTTTGCGGCTTGGCACGTCTTTACAAACCACATGGCTTTCTGGAGCTGCGAGAAATCGCGAAAACCAGTTTTTGGCCTAAATAAAAACGCCGTTGGAGATGCTCTTAGAGATGCTCTAATTGAAATAGAAATAAAAACGCCGTTTTTATTTTGCAGATATCAGTCGCCCTATCCGGAGGTCATGACCGCGGTCATCTTGGAATTTGTATGGTATACAATGTACTATGACCAAGCGGAAATATTCGACGTCGGTGGTTGAACCAATCAAAACAGAGAAGAAGTGCAATTTTCCTACCAATAAGGGTGCGTCATGAATGGAAAGCCTGAACTATTTTAACCAATAAAA